TTGTGTTGTATTGTATGGTATTGTATTGTATTGTATTGTATTGTGTTGTCTTGTATTGTATTGTATTGTATTGTATTGTATTGTGTTGTCTTGTATTGTATTGTGTTGTCTTGTATTGTATGGTATTGTATTGTATTGTATTGTATTGTCTTGTATTGTATTGTATTGTTTACTAAAATAAAAAAATACAACTTTTTAAAAATTTCTGAAAAAGTTACTGTTTCCAAACAACAGTATCCTCAGTTCTGCAGGTCCTGAGCTCGACTTTGGTTTGGTAGTAGCTGAGGGTCATTCCCAGCACGTACTCTGAAGGCTAAGAGAAAAATATTAGCAACAATGCATGAAATCATGTTTATTAATTAAAAGGTTTGACTATAATGGCTGCAACTCATTTTTTTAAGACCAGAAGAGCTTAAATGTCTTTCATGAAGGAGGTGATTTGCATTACCGCCACCCTCCTGCTGCCCTTGGGTCAAAATGACAMAGCAGGCCTCTCGGGCAGCAGGAGGGTTAAAGTGAAGGAATAAAAAATTGAAACATTAAAAGTAAAGTATTGCTAAACCTTTAACATTTTATATACATTACTCATTCATCCCTTTTTTATGGTGTTTAAGAATAATCCGAAAAGTTAGTTTGTTATAAAAATTATTTAATAATTTAAAAAAATAAAAAAAAGCTTTCAGTGTAAAACAAATAAACTTTAACACCTTTCAAACATTATTCTTTTAAATCTCAGCAGCACATTAAGGTGTAAAAACTTCACAAGGACAGAAAGTTAAATCCCAGATTTGAGTTCAGGATTAGGATTAGATTTGCTGACAGAAATTGACTAAATGAAAGACTTCACAATAATCCAACGTCCTTCAGGTTTACTTCAGATGTTTGCAGATAACAACGTGTTGTTCACCACCTGCAGACAGAAACAGTCTGAATCTGAGCGGGGGGCTTTCACAAACAGCTGTCCCAGCATGCATCAGTCAGCTGGACCCTCGCTCTGTGGTGTGCAGGGAGCAGAACTACATTANGGCCGCGCGTTATGGCTTTTATTTTTAACGGGCCGTTTCCGCCGGCAGAATGACGACTTCATTTAAAAAACAGCTAAAACTTTTATTTTTTTGCGAAAATTTCAGGGCAATAATGGCAAAATTTTTCGGAGAAGTGTTGTTGGTGAATTCTCAAGCTGTGGAGGAAGACGAGGGGTAAAATACAGTTAGCGTGAATGCTAATGTTAAAGGAAACAGGAACGAGGAAAGACACAGAGGCAACATGTTAGGTGGTAAAACGCAATTCATGTTTGCAGATGATGCAACGAAATATGTAGTCAGTAGGGGTGCAGCGATACAGAAAATTCACGATTCGGTTCGATACTTTAGTCTCACGGTTCGATATATTTTTGATACAAAAAAAGAGAAATTTCCATGACCATTTTAAGTTGTAATTTATTTAAACCAAGTATGAACGTTTGTTTAACTTCAAAAGTACATTTTTTTAAATTAAATGTTGCTGAAACAGCAAGTTTCTCAGTGGATCTGTGCTCCACAGTGCAGCCTAGGTGGAGTAGTCGAACATAGATCCACTGATCCTTCAACACAGAGCATCTTCAGAAGACAAGCTGGTAAAATAAATTTTAAAAAGTTGTATTGTTCAATACAAGTGTGCATTGAACAGTTCGGTACGGGTACATGTATTGTTGCACCCCTAGTAGACAGGTCCCAGAACAACAAAAGAAGAATGACTCAAAAAAAATCAAATCAGAGCAGGTTCCTCGTCAACAAGACGGCAGAAGAACTTAACGTGTCATTCAAGTCATCTGTTAAAATTTTCTGTATTTTYTGTCATATCGCGGGGGTCAGTTTGTCCCAATATCGTGCGTTCATGATTTACTGCTGTTCTTTTGAACCTCCTGCTGGTGTCCGAGTCACTTTGGTGTAATTTCAGTCGGTCTTGAACCTCCCAGTTTCTGTAAGCCAAACAGGACAGCTGCAGCTTTTCATAGAAAAGGAGAAACTCAAGATACGAGTAACGTCTCTGAAAGCGGGGTCGATCAGGTTACAGGTTGGGTTGGTTCACTGGCATCCAGTCAGGAGTTTTAGATGGTTTGCTTTGCTACCAGCTGGGAGCACTGGGCAGCAGCTTTTACATTTACAGACGTGAGAAATAYGATCAAATATTACGGTAATCAAAGTAGGAAAACTCAAACAACTCTCTGCAGTTAGACTCTTCTAGAGGCGTCCCGAGGAGTTCCCATTCCTGGAGTAGATCCATAACATGTCCCTCTGCTTTGATGCACCTGATTAGAACTGATGTCATAAATTAAAACAAGTACTTTTTTAATTATGTGTATCTATCCATCCATTTCTTCCTTTTAAAATACCCAAAACACAAAAACTTCACTTTGCCACCAGAAGTCGGTCAAAGAAAAGGAATCGTTCCAACATCCAACCTGCTTTTCAGTCGTTCGCATTGAATTATTCACCGGAGAGGATCATTACAGCAAGAGGCTGGCATTTAATTAGCATTTAAAGCTTTAATTTCTTCAGTTTATTCAAAATATTAGTACTTAACGGGGGAAAATTACCCACCAAACATATTTAATTCGTAACTGGTAATCTGTTTGACCTAATCTGCTGCATAGATTAAATAAGATGTTCAGATAATAAAATCCTCTCCTGTTCTTTGACAGAACAGGCACATCAATGTGACGTCACATCTAATCATCCTTTTTTTATCTGATCTGATCAATGAGGGAGGGAACCCTGCAGGCAGGAGCTCTGAGGAAGGTCAAAGGTTAAATGCAGCTTCCTCCCTCCGTTTTTCTCATTTATTYATGTATTTATTTATTTAGTTGRTTATCTGAATAATTTCTGCAGCAGGAGCCAAGAAACTAACTTTTAACTCCTTCCTGCAGAAAACCTGCATAATTAATTCATTCAGAGTTAACAGGAAGGCTCTGTTTTGATGCATTTTCAGCCCTGACCTGGACCCTGAACGCCTCACTGCAGACCTGCTTTGCCTAACTTGCTACAACTAAGTTGTTTTTTGTTTTTTTTTTTAGGAAAAAGCTGCACAGTGTTTGTGCGCCAGAACGTGAGGAACTTCTGCGTCAGTTTTTTAAAAGTCGCAGCCCTCTGTCCTGAGCTGCCGCTTCGTTGTGAGCCACAGGGAGAACCCCAGAGGAAGTTTTATGGCTCTGCAAACACCAGAACCACAATGGCGGTGCGYCTTTCTTTGAAAACCGTGAGTGCGCACGAGCAGCGTGTGTGTGTGTGCGCCAAAAAAATACCGTTCAAAGAAAAAAAGAGCAAAAATGTGCGACTTTCCTGCTTTGCGGGAAGTTTTTTCTTTCTTTCTTTTTGCGCCATGTTTGCTGCGCGACGCTGCGACGATGTTTCCAGGAGAGAGAGAAAAAAAAACCAGACAGAAAATAAAAGTCTCCAAACTCACCTTGGCGATAGCCTTCTTATACCTCATGACAGCCTGCTGGATGAGCGCGTGCACTTTCATATTCCCGTCCCCGCACGGAACCACCACCCGGGTCCTGCCGAAGCACACCGTGACTTTCATGGTTCGGTCTCCGGGTTCGGATCCAGACCGAGGAGGAGGCGAGGCGAGGAGCACAGATCCACCGAGTGGGAGCCAGAGGGAAGCGGCGGCAGCATGGAGGTCTTCTCCCGGTTTTCCCCTCACGGGAGGGAGGACTTTAACGGTCCGTCCGGGTCTCYCCGCCGGACCACATTGTTCTGGCTGTTTTCAGACCACCTGTTTAGCTTCAGACCCTCCTTGTCTCCTTCTTTCCTTCCCTCTCTGGATCCAGATCCCTCTGTCCTCTCCCGGCTGAGCTAATGCTGCGTGATGCGTTCAGGAGCCGCTCAGGAGTGTCCGAAACCACAACACCCAACTCAAACGCTCAAATATGGTATAGTATAGTATAGTATAGTATAGTATAGTATAGTATAGTATAGTATAGTATAGTATAGTATAGTATAGTATAGTATAGTATAGTGTTGTGTACAGTTGGGGTCGGGA